CATCCCTGCCGGCACTCCTGGTCCCAGGGCGCCAGGCCGCCCAGCGGGAGTGTCCACTCAGAGAGCAGCGTCTCCCTCAGCAGAGAAGCAGGGCGTGTGAGCCCAGCGCAGGACTCCAGGGAGCCGGGCGCGTTTCACTCTCCACGCACTCCCTCAGCCTGGAAGCCGGGTCTCCCAGCCTCCAGCTCCTCTGCCAGGGCCCAGGAAGACTTCCCCGCCGTGTCAGCTGTGCTTCTGCTCCGTGCTTGAGTTGTGTGACTCGCAGTCTCAGGGAGCAGACCTTCGGATGGGGCAGCAATGATCCCCGAAGGAACCCTGAAAGTAATGAGTCCCTCGGCGCTAAGTCAACAGCGCCCTCGCTTCTCGGTGCCACGCTAATTAGTCTCGGGGCTGAGAACTCGTTCGGGCGATCCAGGTAACAGCACTTCTCCTAACAGTAGCGCACCCAAGCGTCACGCTGGCCGCTTTCCCGGCAGTCCACACATGGGTGCTATTGACAGCGCTGCCCCGTCTTCGTGCTAATAAAATAGGAGCCCTCTGACAGAGCTGGGCACGTGACAGCCACTGAGAGCTGGTGATCTCGGCAAGGTCTTTGGCAACCACTGTTTGCACAGAGTGTCTTCAGACGATCACTGAAGGGTGCATACAGGACGGGAAAGCCCACTGGAGGGGACAGTGTGTCCTCGCAGCAGGTCTGAGCGGCGGCTCAGCCTCGATGGTGGAGAGAGTTTCAGGAGCATGTGTTAAAGGGGATGTCACACCGGAACTCCGAATGCTTCAGATGCCCCTGAGTGCAAAGCAGATCTCTGGGTGCAGAATACAAGCTCCACACATGTCAACACGGTGTTGGGGGCGGCATGAGTCCACTTATATTCACAGGGGTTTGTTTCTGGATCAGGACTGGGTATTGGAATGAAGATGAGCACATCTCTGTTGGGCACTGGGTTAGTTTTCCAGTGCTGGTATAGCAAATTAACACAAATTCCGTGGCTTCAAACACCCTACATCTTCTACCTGTAAGTCAGAAGTGTGGCACGGGTCTCGCTAGGAGACATCAAGGTGTGGGCAGGACAGCGTTCCCACAGTGGCTCCAGGACACTTCTTGGCATCCTGGCCGCCCGGCCCTGCTCCTGTGTGCAAAGTGTCTGTGTCAGGCTGGGCCTCTCACACCACGTCAGAGCTGCTCTTGTGTCCCCGCCTTCCACAGCTGGGGACGCTGGGCCCCTGGATCATTCAGAGTCATCTCCTGGTGTAAGGGCTGCAGACCGGCAGCCTCCGTCCTCGGGCAAACCTCGCTCTTTTCTACCAACCGTGAACCACACCCTCAGGCCCTGGACCAGGCTGTGGACATCTCTGAGGAGCCCCTCATGCTCGTCTAAGAGTGGACGGGAGAGGCCTCAGAACTGCTGCGCATTTTCAAGCACGCGTAGGCACTGATCGCCCCCTAACACATTTTGAAGGGCCCAAGAGAGTGCCTAAAGTTGTGTTGAGCTTTTCCAAAAACGGTGATTGATCCTGTATGGCTTCCAAAAGCAGAAGCAGCAGAACAACCGTTCCCAGCCTCGCGGTCATGTTGACCGAGTCACGTGAGGGGGGCGAAGTCCTAAATTCCGTGCTGGACACTGTTGGCTGCAAATACGAACTCAGAGAAGGAGTGGCTACGTAGGAACTCCTCGTCAGAGAAGGTAGCCTTGTGAATTGCTGATGGGTTGTCTTCTCAGATTAGGAACACAGCACACATTCGTTAGCGAAGCGGGTAGTTCAGGAAGGCCTCAGGAAGCCAGCTTCCGGGATTCCGCAGGTGCCGGACCTGGGTTTGCTTCCACATCGACACACACTGCACACGCAGGTTTTAAACACGAGTGTGACTTCTGTGCTTAGAGTCTTTGGGTTTTCCACCTCGATGAGTGCAGTTCCGATCCTCATTTGCATCGCTGAGACATGTCCCACTACTGGAACTGACAGCGATCTGTTTACCAGACCCCCTGGGGGATGAATGTTTAGCTTGTCCCGGTTTTCGCGTGGACAGATTGTCCTCGAGAGCCTCCTTTACACACAACCTTTGCAGTGCTTGGATGATTGCTGCCCTGGAATAAATTCCTGGAGGGGATTGCTGGGAAGGAGAGAGGTGGCTTTTAAGGAGCTTACGCAGGTTACCAATCTGCCCTCCCCGGAAGTCACTCTCGCTTTCTGGAAGCCTCACGACTGATGAAGAGGAAGGAATGACAGCTAGAAGATTCCATCATGGAACCCGCATTAAACCAGAGGATTTGACAGCCGACTGTCATCCAGGACAGCCGCTGTGGCCCAGAGGGTCAAGCTGCGCCCACGACCCAGTACCCCAGTGTGCCGGGCTGGCCCAAGTGCTCGGGCCCCTGCCACCCTGTGGCAGACATCGCAGGAACTGGAAGCACAGCCCAAATACACCTTTCTTCTTCTGCAGGGGCCCTTCCTGCCGTGTGCATGGCTGGGGCCCAGGCTCACCGCCTCGGCACAGCCTCTCTGGCCCCAGGTCCAGGACTGTTCCACAGCGGCCTCTCCCACGCTTCACGTTGGCCGTGGTGTCTGCTCTCTGCTCATTCTCCTGCCTGCCCGTTCCCTGGCTATTGAAAGGAGACACACGCAAGACAGCGCAGGATATCCTTGAGCTTTATTTAAACAGCAGCCCAGTGGCCCGCGGGTGTGAGGACAGATGGAGCAGCTGGGCTCCTGCTCCCTGCAGCTGTCCACGGCCTGCCCGTCTGACCTGCGACCGCATCAGTCATTTCACGGGCACTACCCTGTGTCTCCTCTGAAATGTCCTCCCCTGGGGAGGACGGTGTCTGCTGCCCCCAGCTAGGTCTCCCTCCTTCCTCCAGCCTCCACTCAGTTGCACCTGCTTCCCAGATGGCCTGGCACTGTGTTGAGAAGTGGCTCAGTCATCCTAGCACTTAATGAGGGGAGTGCAGAGGGGTGGGGGGAACCCAGGGAAGTCTCCAGCCCAGCAACCTGGAGCCCTGAGACTTCCAGGTGCCTTGCGATAACCAGCCCTTCAAGCCGCTCCAGGGCAAGGCAGCCCGGCTAGACTGGGCAAGGCAGCCCGGCTAGACTGGGCAAGGCAGCCCGGCTAGACTGGCCGGCTGCCATGAGGAGGCGGCAGTTATCTCTCGAACAGCCCAGGAGGCCCGTGAGTCAGCAGCTCACCGCCTCCTCCCCTGTACTTCCCTCCCAGCATCTGTCTGGGCAGGGGGCCCCAGCCCTCCACTCTCACAGACCCTGTCTCCAGAAAGGTCGACAGCCTGGGCCACGCCCTCTGAGGATCCCAGGGAGACAGAGTGGAGGCAGTGCGGGTCCTGCTACCCCAGGCCCTGTCTTGAGTGTGAACACGGCTCCTGCTGCCTCCCTGATGCTCCTGCCCTCACTGGACCTGGGGTCCAGGGTGTGCAGCCTCACCCCCCCCCCCACAGAGGCTCAGGACCTGCTCAGGGGACGGAGTCCCACAGGCTGAACCTCGTCCCCCTTGCACCATCACCACGCACAGAATCACAGCGTCAGCTCGTGCTGTGCCTGTCCCTGGGGGCAGCTGTACCTCTTGTGCCCCCCGACTCGCTGGTCCTCAGCTCTGGGGTCAGTGATTTGCTGGCTCACTAGTGCCCAGCAGAACGCGGATGTGCTCTGTGCCCGCCACGCAGGGTGACGCAGCCTGGAGGACCCTGCGTTCACTGACGCACACCAACACAAGTCAAGGCCGAGTCACTCCTCGCGCACACAGCACTCAGCGTGGCCATGTCCCAGAGGCAGAGAACAGACCTGGGGGCCAGCGGCTGCGAGAACAGGGAGCGGTAGGGTGCGCCCTCCCCAGGCCAGCTAGACAGTGCCAACAAGCTACACACTCAGGCAAGCCACACACTCAGGGACACAGAGTCCAGAGGGCCAGCTCCAGCCCCTCTGCCAGGGCTCCCTTCTCCCCCCTCCAGGCAGCCAGGTTGAATGCACTTGAAAGGAAGGCACTGGAGACCAGGGGGCCTGGACGAGGTGCACAGGACTCCTGGGGAGCGGGTGCCCAGGGCCAGCCTCCAAAGCCCAGCTCCAGGGCTCCCCACTTGGGCGAGCTGCTTCCTCACTGGGGCTCCTGCTGCTGTCAGGTGGTGCAGGACATCGAAGGCTCCTCCCGGGTCCTGGCACCCCACAGTCCTGACCCTACTGCCTGCCTCCCTGTGCACAGAGCCCTCTGGTATCCCAGCACAGCCTGGCTTCTGAGCATCATGGGTCCTGGAGTCCCCTCCGTGTGCAGAGAGAGGCGGCAGCTGGGGACTGGGGAAGCCAAGACAGCCTGGAGGGCCCAGCTGGCACCCACGCATCCACCCACCAGGCCAACCACTCCAACTCTGACGTGGGTCTCTGGAGAGAGCTCGCAGACACACCAGAGAGAACGCTGTCTGAGCACTGTCACCAAGAGACGCTTCACCAAGGCCACCTGGACCTGGCTTCAGGACTCCCGGGACGACAGGCCGGGCCCACACACCTCAGGACCCCTGGGTACCTGAGAAGCGCGGGGTTCACCTCCTCTGAAGTGTCCCACGTGAAACGTACTGCTGATTTCTGGACTCGGCTTCCTGGCCTCAAGAGGCTTTAACAAACCCGAAGTTGGAGATTCCTTATGGAAAGTTCCAGAAAAGCAAACTTCCAAAGGCCTTGTGGCCCATGAACAATGGTGCTGCGCTTGTATAAATGAGCGGGCTGAGCACAATGAGACAAGACTTACATTGACAAGAATAACTTCACTTGGTCGCCTTTGCTCAGCAGTGGAGGACTGTCCAGACGTGGTCCGTGTCAGTGGGGAGACCACAGCCCTGCCTGCAGGTTCTCGGTCCCCAGCTTCCTCAGCTTCAGGCTCCAAACCAACGTTCCCCACTTTCCTCCCGCCCCCTGACACGGAGTCACTGAGAACTAACACCTCCCTTTCCCACACCCTGCGGGCTGATGCTGGGTGGGCTGGCGTCGACTGCAAGCGAGTGAGCATGGCGGACGCCCTATGGACACGTCTGCTGCGGCACGGCCCCCCAGCGCTGCCCCTGGAGACGTTCAAACTGCAAACCAGGGACTGTATTGCCAACCTGCTGCCCTCGCCCCTCCAGGTGAGGTGCTTCAAGCCGCTGTCCTCTGTGTCTTCCTTCTCATGGACACCTGAGTGCTCGCACCCAGCAAGTGTCCTCCACAGCGACACACGGACCTCCACTGTTCCAGGAGAGCAGACTGGGGTGCTGACAAAGGCTCTCTCCTTCCACCAAGCTGAAGTCTGACCTTGGGCTCTGTCCTTGGCCGCTTCGGTCCACTTTTTGCAAGAACCCTGTCAGGTTGGTTCAGCAGGAGTCCCCCACCCACCAAATCTGGTCAGATCTCCCATCCTCTGCGTCACCCGGGCCTGCCTTCAGCAAGAATCTTGCTGACTCTCCTTTAGCCCTGATGCCTCCTCCAGGTAGTTTTCTGTGCTCTGACCCCCACCCTGCAATGCAGCATGAATCTCTGTCCCTGTTGTATTTGGAGTGGGGCCCAATCTCCCCCTCCTGTTACAGAAACCAAATGTAGGGCACACATGAGGAAGGAACAATCTCTTCAATAAATAGCGCTGGGAAAACCACATTTCCATGTAAAAAGTATTACTTTGGACCCTTATCTTGTTAGGGTCGAGAAACATCCGCCACACAAGGAACGACTCCAAGAGACACTCTCATGCAATCAGCAAGGGGTTTATCAAACCAGCATGCTGGGGCTCTCTGAACACGCAGGAACAGAGCAGCCCCGAGAAGTCAAGGGTCAGGGTTTTTATAGGGTTTTCAGAGACATTGCACACATTATGGTACCATTTAGCAAATCATCTCACACCGCGGGAAACTCATTAGCAAATCAACCCACACCACGGGAAACTCATTAGCACGCGTGGGGAGTTCAAGGGACATCTGGCGGGAATGATGGGTGAGGCAAGGGTTACACAGCTTCGGTCCCTCATCCTCACACAGGTGCAGCAGTAAAGATAAGGAACCGAAACTATACAACCCCTGCCCCACGGGGTTTCAGCTTTGGGGAAGGAGGTTTAGGCCTGCAATTTTAATTCTTCAATCTTACACCATATGCTAAAGTCAGCTCAAAACCTAACAGCTGAAACCATAAAACTCCTAGAATACAACAGCAGGGGAATCTTCACATTGGCCTTGTCAATCGTTTTTGGCCATCACAGCAAATCCTAGGCTGCAAACGCAAAAGTCACTGAAGGAGGGGGCAGGCGCTTGGCCTGGTGGTCAAGAAGCCCACGTCACGCACGGGAGTCCTTGGCTTTGACCCAAGTCTGGCTCCTGACTCCAGATTCCCACCAATGCAGACTCCGGGAGGCAGAGCTCAGGTAGCTTGGTTCCTGCCACGCACACTGCAGACGAATGAAGCGCCCAGATCCTGGCTCTAGCCCCAACCCAGCTCAAGCCACTGAATGCATGCGAGGACTGAGTTAGCAGAGGGGAGCCCTGTCCATCTCTCTCTCAAATGAAGAAACAGTAATAAATAATCTTTTTAGAATAAGTAAATAAATCATACCACACGAAACTGGAAAGTCTGCACAGCGGAAGAAGCACTCGGCACAATGAAAAGGCAATCCACACACTAGGAAAACTGTGTGCAAACCACACATCTGATCCAGGGTTAATACCCAAAACTTACACGGAAATCCTTGTAACTCAATCACAGAAAAACAAATAACCTGACTAAGAAGTGGACACAGACTTTGAAGAGACTTCTCTAAAGAAGACATTTATCAACTAGAAGGTGTGTGAAAAAGAGCTCAGGATCGGACTCGTCGGGGAAACACAGGTGACAACCGCTGCATCAAGCGCCTCACATCATGGCTGTCACCAGAAAGACGGTGACAGCGTGGAGACAAGGGTGCCTCACACACAGCTGCCGGGCAGCAGATGGACGCACCACTTTGGGAAACAGTGTGGAGGTTCCTAACGTGGAACTCCTGTGTGACCCAGCGTGTGGGGCAGCGGCCAAGGGCAGGAGAGATTCCTATGCTCTCACGGCACTTTTTTTGTAGGATTTATTTATTTATTTGAAAGGCAGAGGTACAGAGAGGCAGAGGCAGAGAAAGGGGAGAGAAAGGTCTTCCCTCCACTGTTTCACTCCCCAAATGGTCGCAATGGCCAGAGCTGAGCCGATCTGCAGCCAGGAGCCTCTTCTAGGTCTGCAACACGGGTGCAGGGGCCCAAACACTTGGACTGTCTTCTGCTGCCTTCCCGGGCCACAGCAGGGAGCTGGATCAGAAGTAGAGCAGCCAGCACCCATATGGGAGACCCAGATGAAGATCCTGGCTCCTGCCTGGCCCAGCCTTGGCTGTTGTGGCCATCTGGGGAGTGAATCAATGGATGGAAGATCTCTCTCTCACTTTCAAATAAATAAATAAGTCTTTTTTAAATGGAAAGCAGATCCTGTTATTTGCAACAGCATAGATAGACTTGGAGGCCACTCTACTGAGTGAAATAAGCCAGACATAAGGATAGTGCACGATCCTGCTTGGGTTCTGTCTTTTCTAAATCTCAAATATACAGAGAGAGAATGGAACAGTGGTTACCATGGCAGAGAGTGGAGAGAGAACGGGGAGATGCAGGTCGAAGGATATAAAACAGCAGACAGGCAGGAGGAACCAGTGTAGAGAACCAATGTACAAACAAGGGCTAAAGTTAATCAAATGGGACTGTACCAGGGATTTCTGTTAAGTGAGCAGATTTTAGTTCCTTTTGTCACAACAAAGGCAGTGACAAAGCTATCTTAATCGGCTTCGCTACAGAAGCCATTTCATTATCTGCATGCATCTGTAACATCATGTTGTAAGCCACAAAGACACGATAAAACTTGTTTTGAAAGACCCATTGTGCCAGGACAAGCAGTGTGGCGCAGCGGGTTAAGCCACGGCCTGCAACATGGTGTTCCATATTGGCGCACCGGTTGGAGTCCCGGTACTGCACCTCCAATGCAGCTCCCTGCTAACATTCCTGGTAAGGCAGCTGAAGGCCCAGTACTTAGGCCCCTGCCGCCCACGTGGGGGCCAGGATGGAGTCCCGGACTCCTGGCTTCAGCCTGGTCCAGGCCCTGCCCTGGCTGCTGTAGCCATCTGGGACTGAACCAGCAGCTGGAAGATCAATCTCTCTTTCTCTCTCCTCTCTCTCTTTTTCCATCTCTCTCTCCTCTCTCTGTCACTCTAACTTTCACATAAATATTGTACATCTTTAAAAAAAAGCCACATTGTATTAAGTCTGTCTTATGGTCCCCAAAAGTGGTACAAATAACTTTTGTCTTTAACAAGGCTCAGAGCCAAGAAGTGCCCGAGGCAGAGTGGAGACAGCACTGTGTCCAGGCATGCAGAGGGCCCCACGGCAGAGAGGAGGACAGACTGGAGCCCAGTGGGGCCCAGGAGCCAGCTGCCCCCCACCCCGCCGTGGCAGACCCCTACAGTGCTCCCCACCAGCCTACCGCTGCTCTCTCTGGAACCTGTCCAGGTGCAGCTCTTGGGAGCGAAGGCCAGGCAAGCCTGGGTGAGGCTGGGTGAGTCCACGCCAGGTCTGGGGTCCCACCCTCTGTAGGAAGCTGGGAGACAGCACAGGTGCTGGATCGCAGAGACAGCGAGGGAGGTGGAAACTGAGGCCTCGTCCCCACCTGGCCAGCCACTAGTCGGCACACTCTTGCACCATGCGCCTCTTGCGTCACTCCTGGATGCCTTCCTGGTTGTCAGGCAGAGTCATGAGCCCCAGCTGGCATTGACAGACACCTGAAAATCCCACCCTCTTCCCTTCTCCTCCCCAAGCTCCCCGGCAGGGCCCGTATATAAGGGGACAGAGAGGCTGGGAAGCCCAGCTGCAGGGAGGCCAAGGCCACGGGCTAGTGAGAGAAGAAGGTGACACACACATCCTTGCAGGGCTCTCTGACCTCCACCCACCCTCCCAGAGGTTGACGACCAGCTGCAGCCCTGGCCTTGTGGGCACGGGTGCTGCGGGCCCTGGGCAGGCTCCCAGTTATGTGGCCCCTCACCTGCTGCCAAGGCGCGGCCCTGTGGGGTGGGCACAGCAGAACTGGCAAGGCCCTCTCACAGGCTGGCCACTCCAAAAGGAGGTACACTTGCCTCCCCGGGCCCCAGCGCAGGACGGGGACCCTCCCCTAACACAGCTTCCTGGGCTGCTGGTTTCAGTGAGAGGCCACAGTCTGAGCCCCTCCCTGTCCCCGCCTCTGCCTCCTGTGCCTTCTCCTTCTCACAGGGTGGGATGTTCTGGGATGGTTCGGAGGAGGGAGCCGAGTGTGTGTCTGGGGCAGGGGGCTGTGCTGTGTGCTCTGTGTTCTCCTGGGCCCCTGTTCTGTCTCCCTTCTCTTGCCCGATAGGCAACACCCCTCCACTGCTCCCTGGGGTTCTGTGCATGGTTACAGTGGAAGTGGGGTGCATGGCAGGGACAGAGGAGGTGCAGCCAGGGCTTCAGCCCTCATGCTGTCCCCCACGGCCTACACTGTCCCCACTGTGCCTTTGCCATGCACAGGTCAACAGAGTCGGCAGGTGGGGCGGGGGTATGGCTCAGGGACATGATCGAGAGCAGACTGGGCTCTAGGGTGACTCACGTACCCTAGGTCAGCTGACAGGAACAAAACAGAGCGGTGGCAAGGGCCTGGGCCAGGCACGGACTCCAGAGTGCCATCAGGCAGGACACGGACTGGGCCTACCCCTGCCGGCCCAGCATTCTGCTCCTGCTAGCTCCTGGACTTGGCTGCCCTCCCGACCAGACCCCGTGCCTGGGCTGCCATGGGGTGCCCACCATGGGCCCAAACTTTGCCCCTCCCATCAGAGGGCTAGCAGAAAACTCTCCCAACCCAGGCCTCCCTTGGGGACCCCTCTCCTGGCTCTGGGTAGATGGAGGGACAGGAAGCTGTGCTGGCCAGGCCCCCAGCAGACCTCAGCAGCCCCTGGGCACAAGCGGCTGGGAGAGTGGCCACCGGGCCCACAGGGGCAGCGCCCTGTGCTCAGGATGCACCTGGAGGCCGTCCCCACCTTCTGAGGGGGTGCCCGCATCCCAGGCCTGGAGCTCCCCGGGCTCCTCTGGGCATCAGGTGCACACCTACGAGCACACCTGTGCTGCTGATTCCGCTCAGTGGCTGAGTCAGATGTCGGTTTTGTTTTCTCTTGTCCTGAGCGTTCCCCCAGGGGCCAGGTTTGGTGAGGTCTCAGGTCCGGCCCACCCCTTCGACAGGAGTGGGGTTGTCAGCAGGTCCACGCTCCTGGCAGCCTCGGCTTGCTCACAAGCGGGAAAGAAGACCTGCCCCCAGGTGAGCGCAGGATCTGAGCCACCCACATCCTGGGCCCTGGCAGCACCGAGGGGCCTCCTGGGAAGGGACAGGGATATTTAAAAAAAAAGTCTTTGTTGGGCTTTTCTTCTGTTGGAATTTGCGGATGTTTTATCAGAACTGCACATTCCAGGCACAGGGGTCCCGGGATCCCGAGTAAGGCACAGGCAGAGCACGAGCAGGCCTCCCAGGTGTCCCCACCGCCCGCCCAGCCCATGCTGTGCCCAGTCCTGCGGCTTCCCCCAGGGGACAGCTCCTACAGTGATTTTGGCTCCTGCCTCTCCTCTGTTGTCCTCTTCCCACCCCATCCCCCACCTTTTTTAACCTGCAAAATGCAATGTTAGTGTTAGCACATGGGCACGTATTTATGCTTTAGAGTCTGACCTGAGTTTTGAGAGGTGTGGGGTGTGTGCCGTGCAGTGTAGACACTTTAACCAATGACAGACATGTGTGGTCAGTCCAGGGTGAAGACAGAGAACGTGCCCAGCATTGCCTGGCGTCCTGGACAAGAGACCACCACCCTGCGGTCACTTTCACCCCCATATGCAGAGCCGGTCCAGCAGGCACCATTTGGTTTCCCCTGCCCAACGTGGGGCCTGGGGATCTCGGGGGACAGGCCCGGCACTCAGAGATCGGGAGGTGCTGAGCAAGCCCCTGGGGGCACAGCCCTTGGGGGTCGATGCTCTGTGAGACTCCGACGCACGCGCACACCAAGTCCCGGGTTCCCCCGTGCAGAGTGAGGGGCTTGGTGCCCGGGGCGGGAGCTCGCAGCATGGAGTTTCGTCCCCTCACCCGCTGCGGTTTCCGGCCAGGCCGAGGGCCAGCCCTGCCCCACGGTTGGGCATCAGAGTCTCTGCGGCAGGAAAGACGTGTGAGCCCGGGGTGCACAGGAGGCGCCGGGCTGAGCCCCTGAAGCAGATGTCTCGCCGAGGCCAAGCTCGGGGTCTTGGGCAGGAGCAGGGGCCTGAGTCGGGGGGCGGCCGGCGGTGACTCCCCAAGGGGCTCTCCTAGCACGGGGTGGAGAGAGACAGGGTCCTGTGAGGACAGTGCTGTAGCAGCACAGTCAAGGACCCCTGGCATGGGTTTGAAGCAAGGAGTCTGGGTGTAGGAGGCCAAGGGGACAGGCGGTGATCTTGTGGTTGCAAAGCTGGTGGGAGGAAACCTCCACCAAGGAGGGGCTGGGAGCCCTCGCCCAGGAGGCCAGTAACAAACAGGTGCGTTTGAGAAGGAGCAAGTTGAAGATGTACGATGGACACTTTCCAGATCTACTCCTCACTCAGTTATTCATCAACCAGACCTGACCCCAGGTGTCCACCGAGGAGCCTGGGGCTGGCCAGGGTGGTGGGCAGACTCACCCTGACCCCAGAGTCAGGGACTGGTGGTCGGTTAGCTGGGTAGGAAAGAGAATGAGGGCCATGGGTTTGTCATTGACTTTGCTTGGCAAACAGCAAGTGCCGTGAGGCACTTGGGGCCAACGCATGCTTCCTGGGCCTGAGTTCTGTGGGAGTCAGGGGCTGCACTGGGGCTGGTCCGAGCTGTACACATGTCTCGGAGGCTGTGTGCCTTAGTGGACAGCGTCCCTCCACGCTGCCATGCTTTAGGGTCTTCTCAGTCCAACAGACATTCTGTCAGTGTGGCAAGTAGCCCCTCACCAGTCCTCCTGGGCTGAGGGCCTGGCCTCCAGGCTAGCTGTTGGCAGGTGTGCAGCAGGGGCGTTAGTCCCCGAGGGAGCATCGCTGGCCAGAGGCAGTCTGTGGAAAGCCCCCTGATGGAGGCACCCTCTGGTAGGGCAGGAAAGAAATGGGAGAGCTGGGACCCCGCATCACAGGCCTGGTGACAAAGCCACTCCTCCGTGTGGAGTTGACTGCTGTCTGCACTGTCACCTACCCAGGCTGGCTGGTCCTTGCCATCCTGTCCGTGCTGAGTTCGGCTACCCAGGACTTCAAGCTTGTCAAGTGCTTTGAGGACCCCCAGTATGAAGAGCTGGTGCAGCTGGCCCGAGACGGGCTGGGGACGACGGCTGAGAGGAAGAGGATTGTTGTGATTGGGGCTGGCATAGCCAGGCTCACCGTGGCCAAGACCCTGCAGGAAGCTGGCCACCAGGTGCACAGCCGGGCTCAGGAGGGTCCCTCTGAGCAGAGGGGGGGGAACTCGGCAGAGGACAGTGCTGGAAAGCAGGGTACAGACCCAGGGGGAGGGCTGGGAGAGCAGGTGGTGGGACCCAGTAGTGGGGCAGACGTGGGAACCGGGGTGTGGGGATGCGGCTGGCGTGGGCGGGGCCAGGACAGGGCTGTCTTTCCAGGTGACTGTGCTGGAGGCCTCGGGGCGTGTGGGTGGCAGGGTAAAGACCCACAGAGTGCCTGGAGCGCCGTGGCACGTGGAGCTGGGCGCCATGCGGATCCCTGTCAGTCACAGGTACGGTGCAGAGCAGGCGGCGGTAGGAAGGCTACCTGGTGGGTGCCCACACCAAGGCCAGATGACACCAGGAGGGGCAGGCCAGCAGGGGTGGGGAGGGGCTGGGGGCCGTCCCAGATCATTCAGAGTTGCAGGCTTCTGTGCTGTCATCTATCTAATGGGCATGACTGCACTGCCTGCCAGGCAAGGGGCCACATGCTGGGCACTGCAGAAGGCTACAGCTTGGAGGTCAAGAGCGGCCCGGTCTGCTGGGGCCATCCCAGAGGGCGGAGTGGGCTCACAGGGTGCAGCCCAGGGACTCGGGAAGGGTGGGGTGGCCTCCAGAGGATGCACCCCGTGAGCCCCCATGGCATCTCTGGGGCTGGAATGGCTGCACCTGATGGCCTGGAGGTCACAGGTCCCAGCACAGTGAGACAGCACTAGCCGGTGTGGGGGACCATCATGGCATGGTGACACCACAGCAAGGATGCCTGGCTCCCTGCTGGCTGTGCCGCCACTTGCCGGGGCCCCTGGGACTCTGTGCGTGGAGGCTGGGCGGCCAGGTGAGTCCGTGGAGGCAGGAGCAGTGCCCCGGGAGCAGAGCAGGTGGGCGACTCCTCTTCCTGCAGGCTGGCCCTCGGGCTCGTCCGGAAGCTAGGGCTGCCCCTCCAGGAGTTCTGGCCTCGGAACAGCCAGACCTGGGTGCTGGTCAACAGCGTGCGGCAGCGCCTGGTGCACGTGCAGGCCGACCCCGGGCCGCTGGGCTACCCGGTCAGAGCAGAGAAGGGCAAGACGGCCGAGCAGCTCTTCCTGCAGTCTCTGTGGAAGGTGAGCCCACGAGGGCCGCTGCCGCCGTGGGGCCACCTCTGGTGAGCCTCCGCAAGTGTCTCTCCCACCCCCTTGGGGAGGGGGAGGGGAAGGATGGTGGGCCCCAGCCCCAGCCCCCTGCTCAGGAGGCGCCATACCCAGCAGTCGCCATGAGCACCTGACCCCACGCTCGGCCAGAGGTGCAGAAGGCAGGCCCAGGCCGAAGCCGAGACTGGGTGTGAGTGTGTGACCGAGCCTGGGCACACGGGGAAACCCTGCCGGCCCAGCCTGAAAGGCCCACCCACCCTTGGCTGTCTGGGTGAGGGTCACCCAGCATGACCAGTGCCTTTGTCCTCCGTGGGACACGAGTTCTCAGGGGAGGCCCTGCCCTGGTGTCCTGCCAAGGAGGTCAGATCCTGTCCAGCCTCACTGAACAGCTCAGGGGGCCCAGGCCCGCCCCACTGTGGCAACGCGGGCTTCCACCTCTGGGAGCCCGCGGGCCAGTGAGCCTGGGGCCCTCCCTCCGCATACCCCACGACAGGTACAAGACCAGAGTGTCTGGACTCACCAGTCAGTTTCAGGACACAATCCTGGACCCCAGGGTCCACATGGAGCAAGCCCTGAACACACACACACACACACACACACACACACACACGAGCTAGGGACTGGGCGGGGAGGGGGAGGGGGGGCTGCAGCAGACTCTCCGGTGTGCGCAGGTGGCGGAGGAACTGAAGACCAGCAGCTGTGAGCACATTCTGAGGAAGTCTAGCTCCTTCACCACCAAGGTCAGTCGTCAGCCCGCAGGCCGCTGCCCTCTCCCACGGCCATTGTCCCGGTTCCACGTGCTTCTCCCCTGCTGGAAGGCAGGCTCTGTGAGGACAGGAGGGCTAGAGAGGAGGAGAGAGGGACCCAGGGAGAACAGCTCAGGGCTCCCGGCATCCAGGGAGAGCTCACGGCATCATGGGGGGAGACACCGGTGAAGGCCGGCAGAGGCCTGGGACAGCTACAGCAGCAGAGCTTACCAGTGGGGATGCGGCCACCCGCTGTGTGGCTGGGGTGGGGTCCCACAGAGCAGGCTGCACTGACACAGACTCGGGCTACCCACCCTGACTCCGTTCCTCACTGGCCCTGGCTGGGAGGCCTCCCTGGCCTCTCCCTGCACCTGGCTGCAGGAGTTCCTGTCCACCGTGGGGACCTGAGCCTTGGCGCCATGCAGATGATCGAGGACCTGCTGGAACCAGACTCTGGCTACCACAAGGCCTTCATCGAAACCATGCAGGCTTCCATCTCCCTCCTCTAGGACCTCCGGTAGGGTGCACGGGCGTGGGGCGGCCAAGGGCAGAGGTGGGGGCAGCCAGGGGGCCAGCCTCCGTGTCATTGGGGAGGTGGGGGGTGCTGCTGGAACACAGGAGTCCATGGGTCTGGGCCAGGGCCTGCACTGCTGCCTGCTGTCTAGACCCTGCTCTGAGGACCGTCCAGAGTCCAGGGAGAGTGGCCCCAGCTCCGATTTGGGGGCCCATGCTGGGGTGTGGCTGCTTTTCAGCCCAGGAGGATGGGTCAGGGGTGCTGAAACTCAGGCCCCAGCCACCAGACCCTTGCTTCCCAACCGTGCGATCTGAAGCCACAAAGACGTACTCACCACCCTGAGCTGGAGACCCAGGGCAGACGCTGCCAAGAGCCCAAAGTTAGCCTCCCCTCCGGCCTGTGTCCAGGTATCGTGAGATCGCTGGGGGCTTCGACCAGCTGCCCCAGGCCTTGCAAGACACCCTCCTGCCCGGGACAGTGCGGCTGTACTCGCCCGCGCATGAGGTGGACACGTTGGGGGGGCGAGTGCACGTCACTCTCGGGACACCGGACCCACTGCAGCCGGGGGAGCGCCTGGCAGCCGACTTCCTGGTAGTGGCCACCACAGCCAAGGCCGCGAGGCTGTTGTGTTTCCGGCCCCCACAGAGCCCGGCCAAGGAGCGCTCGCTGCGCCAGGCGCACTACAGCAGCGCCACCAAGTGCTTCTGGGAATGCATCACCAGCGGCATGTCCACCACCGACCGGCCCTCCCACTTCATCTACTGCCCCAGCCACGCCTTCTCACACACCTCGGACGTCCTGCTGGCCTCCTTCACCAGGGAGGAAGACTCAGCCTTCTTCACGGCCTTGGACAGCGAGCGCATCCTGGACGTGGTCTTGAACGACCTGGCCGCCGTCCACGCATGCCCTGAGAGGGAGCTGCGGGCCCTGTGCCCCTACGGCACAGTCAAGCGCTGGAGCCGGGACCCATACTCCATGGGCGGCATCACCCTCTTCACCCCTACCGGTACGTGGACTACAGCCAGGAACTCAGCCAACCTGAAGGGCCCATCTACTTCGCGGGTGAGCACACATCCCGAGTCTCCAGGAGTCGGCCCACCTGCCAGGGGTCCCAAATGCCGGCCCTAGTGGACTCAGACCCAGCCCTGACTCGGGCTGTGGCCCAAATGCTCGTGTGGGTGAGGCTGCTGCTCTGGTTCCTCAAACTGGTGATGATTCCTTTAGGGGACGTTCAGCAGTGAATTTGCTACGTGCTTGAGAGGAAACCAGTTCTCAGAATGCCCAGGGCCTCAGTCTGCCCCCACCTGTCCCCGACCCCCTCTGTCTTCTGGTCCTGGCTGCCCCGAGAGAGGAAGAGGCCCACAGGGGTGGCCCCTGATGATGGCTTTCAAGCAGACAGAGTGTGGCTGGTGCATCGATTAAAACACAGCGACACTTTGAGATCAAGTTAGGAGTCTAGGAGCCAGCTGGTGACTGCCTTTCCACAGAGGAGCCTGGAGAAGGCAGCAGAGTTGCAGCAGTGCGCGGGCGGCGCGGGGTTCAAAGGCAAAACCACATTCTGTTAGTGGCAGTTATCGTGCGGGCATGGTGAGCAAGCTGGAAGCAGTAAGCCAATCAGCAGTCAACACCTATTCCCGCCTGACGTCGTGGCCGGTGCCAGGTGTCCGGCATCTGACGTCCTCCGGTACCAAAGGTTTCCTTAATGTTCAGTCGACACAACCTACACAGCTTTGCTTTACTTTGGCTTGAGGTTTTAAATTTTTAGAAACCCCACCTTGTCACACAGATGAGGATGAGGTTAGGCGCTCAGGAGGAGGCTGTGACCTGGCCTGAATGTTGTCACGACTAACAGATGGTTGTCTTGTGTCCCCAAGTCCCCTGAGGCCGGGCTCAAGGTGGACTCTGCATGCAGTGGGCTGCAGTGCCCTAGAGGGCTCACGAGTATTGCAGCAGGCAGCAGGCAGACCCGCAGGGTGTGGGGGAGACGTCCCTGTGTCCCTCAGGCTTGCCTGCCACACACAGCCCTGAGAAGTGGCCCAGGGATGCAGCACACAGGACCTGCTCATAAGGAGTGCAAGGGGCTGACTCCCTCAGCCCCCGCCCCCCAACACCGTGGTCCTCTGTCTCCTTCCTTACCCCCATCCCAGCCTCACAGCCCCTACCTGGTCGCACTGCACACAATGAGGTCACTGGATTAGAACTACTCAGGAGCAGCTCTGAAGCCTGGTGACTGAGACCCAGCCCTGCCCTGGTGAACATCCCCAAATGCCCCCAACTGCCAGGCCAGGGCCAACAAAGCCAGGAGCCAGGACTCCACCTGGGTCTCCCACGCGGGTGGCAAGAATCCAAGTACTTGAGCCATCACTCATTGCCCTCCAGTCCCATTAGCAGGAATCTGAGTTGGAAGTGAAATAGCTGGGACTCAAACCCAGCCATTAAAAATATGGGATGTTGGCTTCCCAAGCGTTAGCTTAATCTGCTACACCACAAGGCCATCCCTGAGGCAGCAGATCATTTGGGGAAAAAAAATATTATAATCATAGAATCACTGAAGGTTTCAAAGAGAGTACAGGGGGCCCACGCTGTAGTGCAGTAGGCTAATCCTCCGCCTGCGGTGCTGGCATCCCATATGGGCACCGGTTCTAGTCCCGGCTTCTCTTCCAATCCAGCTCTCTGCTATGGCCTGGGAAGGCAGTAGAAGATGGCCCAAGTGCTTGGGACCCTGCACCCACATGGGAGACCCGGAAGAAGCTCCTGGCCCCTGGCTTCAGATCAGTGCAGCTCCGACTGTTGCAACCATTTAGGGAGTGAACCAGCAGATGGAAGACCTTTCTCTCTGTCTTTCCCTCTCACTGTCTGTAATTCTATCTCTCAAATAAATAAAATCCTTAAAAAAAGAAGAAGAATACAGAAAGGTCCCAGTGTAGCCTTCGCTTCCAATAATCACTATATATATATATATTTTGCCAATAATGACATTTTACATAATTAATATGTAATAAAACCGGAGATATGACATTGGTGTGCTGTGTGTGTACAGCTCTGTCTCGTGTTGTCACATGTACCTTCTTGGAACCACAATCACAATCAGAACACAGAACTACCCCCTCCATTCACAGGCTGCCTTGGATCCCTAGCCCCACATTCCTAACCCCTCTGTCCCTGTAATGTCATCTCCAGGGGACGGGTGGGTCCTGCCATCTCTATCTTGGGAAACTAGCTTCCTCACACATTGAGTGCGTCCCAGGTCTACCCAAGTTGCACGCATCAGCAGTTGATTTGTTGTCTTTGCTAGGCAGTACTCTGTAGTGAGCCGAGTCTGTGTTTGTCCTTTCACCTGCTGAGGGACCTGGGATGCTTCCAGTCACCGTGCAATGAGCACTGAGGGACCTGGGATGCTTCCAGTCACCGTGCAATGAGCACTGAGGGACCTGGGATGCTTCCAATCACCGTGCAATGAGCACTGAGGGACCTGGGATGCTTCCAGTCACCGTGCAATGAGCACTTGCGTGTGGGCTCTCACGTGAGTGGAAGCTCTCACTTCTCGGGGGTAAATCCCCAGGGTTGCGGTTCTTTGGTGCTTTGGTGCGCACGTGTGCAGGTTACGAAACGCAACGCCTCTGCAGAACGCTGAGCCTGCACCGCACAAGGGGCCCAGCTTCCTCGCATCCTCACCAGCATTCGGTTCCAGTTTTCATTTTACGCACCCTGAGCAGTACGTGCTGAGGTCTCACTGCAGCGATGGGTGTCTTTTTCTAGGTGTCTTTGGTTAAAAGTCTTCGCATGCCTTGAGTTCCTCTTCTAGCTGAGGTGTTCGCTTTGTCTCTGCTGAGTGTCAGCAGTTCTCTGTATACCTACGTGTGAGCCTGTGCCACAAATGAGGTTTGCAAGTTTCTTTTTCCTGTCTGGAGCTCGTCTCCTCCTCTTACCAAAGTTCCTTGGGGTGCCAGCGTTCACTGTGGCTGCCTTTCCTGTAGCGGGTTTCTTTCACGCACTTCGCTCTTGGTGTCCTGTGTGAGAACTCTTCTCTAAGCCGACTGCTCTGAAGATTTTCCGCTCTGTTTTTTTCGGAAAGTCTGGAAGTTCAACAGTTAAGAATGTTACATCACTATAGTTTTAATGATCTGTGATCATTAAAATTCACTGTATATGGGTGAAATGGTCATTTTTACATTTAATTATTGTTTATAGCCACTGTCTATATTCTCACCAAACTAGGGTCTTTTTGCTTTTTATTTGTCTTATTTGGCGAAGTGTTAACCCTTTTTACTGTAATGTAATTTTAAAATGTTATCTCAAAAGCTTAAAAAAAAAAGAAAGGGAGAGGAAAAGGGCAGGAGGAAGAGGGGGGAAGGCGGAAGGAAGGGAATATCATTATGTTCTTTGAATTGTATCTACAAACCACACTGAATCTGTCAAAACTAATTAAAAATTAAAATAAATGTAACATAAATTAAAAAGTCTGGTAGTTACATTTAAAACTAAGATTCATTTGAGCCAATGTGAGTTTACAAGTGAACAAGTGAAGTATATTATTTTTCTACTAATACAGTGTATATACTTTGGTAGAAAATTCACCATATGCATAAAATTTCAACAAAGAAAATTAAAAATTTTCATAATCCTTCCGCTGCAGGCCATCACATCACACATAGACATCTGCGTGCCTCTGTGCTTACATATGCGGGATTCCTGTCGAGCAATTTGAAGAGGTTTCAGACTGAAACGGAGAAGTCTGGCAGGATTCCTTTTTCTTTCTTCTTCGTCATCGGGCCAGTTTGAGAGAGAAGAACACCAAAGACTTGGGGAAGACGATTTCTTTCAGCCCGCGAGGAGCAGCCGGGATCGGAACCCCGCTCTCCCGCCGAGGAGCCACCCCGCTCTGGCGCTGGGCGGCCGCCGTGAGGACACGCGGCGCAAAGTCGGGCAAGTTCGACTGCGGTGAAGAGCGGCCGGAGCCCCGGCAGGGGCCCTGCCGGTCCCACTCCTGTCCGGGGACAGTCACCGCGTCCTTCCCGCGCGCCCACGGCCCTGTCAGCCCCCGAGCGGGCGCCGAGTCCACGCCCGGCTCCGGGACCAGGCGTCTCCGGCAGCCCCGGCCAGGTTTTGCGGGGCCTGTGAGGTTCCTTTAGGTTCACGCACGGTAGGAATCTCTGCTGATGGCTGCCCTGCCCCGAGAGAACGTCCTAGGCTCTCTGCCACTGTGTCTTGTTTTTAAAAAAAAAAAACTGAGCTTCCCTGACCGGGAATCGAACCCGGGCCGCGGCGGTGAGAGCGCCGAATCCTAACCACTAGACCACCAGGGAGGCGACACGAACAGGTGCCCTGACGTGACAGACTAAGTGAGGGCGCGTGACGACTGGGCCGCAGGTTCGGCCCGCCCCCGCGCCTCCCGCTCGCCGCGGGCCCGAACAGGACTGACCCCCGGGGCGGCCGAGGTCCCGCACAAAAGAGAGCGCCCGCGGCCGGCGGAAGGGCCGAGGTCTGCGAGAAAAGGGAAGGAAAACGTTGTGTCAGAAGTGGGATTCGAACCCACGCCTCCATTCGGAGACCAGAACGCCCGCAGGCAAGGTGCGCACCTTGAGTCTGGCGCCTTAGACCACTCGGCCATCCTGACACCCGGCAGCCGGGCCGCTCCCGCCGCGCCTGCTGCCTGCGCCGCCCGGCCGCCCGCCGCCCCACTGCGCAGGCGCCGGCGGGGCGGGCCCGGAGCGGGGCTGAGGCGCGGACGCCGCGGGCGGGGCCGGGCGCGAGGCGAGAGTCGGCGCCGTGCGGACGTCCCGGGGGCCGCTGACGGAGGCGGACGGCACAGAAACCCCGGCCGGCCGTGCGACGCGGCGTCCCTGGTGCCCGCCGGCCGCCCACGGAGGGCGCTGGGGCTAACACAGCTTTCCGAGAACCAAAATGCGTGGTGAGGACGCGGGCCTCAGCCGGGGCCCGGGTTCGAGTGCGGCGGCTGCTCTGCCCGGAGCCCGCTCCCCGCTGAGGTGGCGGCTCCGGTGCTGCGCCTGGGCCACCCAGTGGGAGGCCCGGACGGCGGCCCTGGGCCCACGGGGATGCACCAGCGGGCAGGAGCTGTGTCCCTCTCACACTCGCACACGACTCGGGCAAACATGTCTACAGCGTCAACCTCAGCGTTGCAGACTGCCCGGGGAGGGGTCTGCTCACCCCTACGCTGCAGGGCAGGGGTGAGAGGGTGGGGAATGACTGGCGGAGTCCAGGGAAGGGCAGGCCTTGTAGGCGTCACGGGTGTGGGAAGAGGAGCTGGTCAGACCCCAGAGGAGATGGGGGCTCCGCTGAGTGGACAGACCGGAGGCAGGGTGTGGTCAGCCCAGACCTGTGCAGACGTCCCCGGGAACCTTGCTGGATAGATGGCCGTGACCGCGAGGAGGAAGGAGCTGAAGTCTGCGCAGCGAAGGGCTACAAAGCGTTACTTGCTGAGATCTGGAAGAGGCCAAGCACCGGGTTGAGAGAGCCCAGTGCTTCGTTAGTCAGGATGAAGCCCAGCAGCCTGGAGGCCATGCTCATCCTGCCCTTAGTTGCTGTACCCCCTTTGAATTCTGTTAGGATACATTCAAACCTCTGGTCGCGCTGACCTGGCAGGCCGCATAGCGCGCAACGGCAGCTGCTTTCTCAGGCCAGACTCTGGAAGTCACCAGCAAGCGTTAGGCATCTTTAGAACAGACACTCTAGCCAGCCGGAAGCTGGGAAGTTTGCTTGTTGTGAGAATATGGTAAGGAAAGAAAAACGTATTCCACGTGGCTGCATTTGCCTTGGCCATACTGTGATTTCCACGCGTGGCGTGCATCGGGACTTCTTTCCTCGCCACTCCAAGCGCGGACACACCGTGCTTCCTCTTCAGCCACTCTGGGGTAGCTTTGGCTTGAACATGACTGCGCATGTGCACGTCTGAACGGGGTTCCAGTTCTTTGGGGGAATATAAATCCGGGTAGCACTGCTGAGTCATGAAGAACCGGCAAGATATTTTTCAGAGTGTCTAAGGCATTTTATGCTTCCATGAGCAATGTAGGAGGTTCTAATTTCTCCACACGTATTTCCCCTTTTTCATAGCCACCCTAGTGATATCATTGTGGTTCTGATTTGCATTTTCCTAATGACTGATAATGTTGGTTACATTTTCATGTGCTTGTTAGTTCTTAGGTCTTCTCTGGAGAAATACCTATTCAATTCCTTTGCCCATTTTTCAGTTGAGGTGTCTCGAAAATATTCCGTCCCATTCTGTAGACCATCTATTTCACTTTCTTCATAATGTCTTTAGTACACAAAAGTTTTAAACTTTGAATAAGGACAGTTTTTCTGTTTTTTTCTTTTATTCATGCTTTTGATAGCCTATCTAAGAATCCATTGTCAAATAAAAAGGAAGATCTATCCTTATGCTTTCTTCCAGTTTTATGTTTTTTTTTTATATTTAGGCCTTTAATCCATTTTTTAGTGTTTATGGTGTGAGGTAGAAGTCAAACTTCATTATTTTTGTATGTGAGTATCTAGTCATGCTAGCACCATTTGTTGAAGACTTTTTCCCAAAATCAATTGACCATAGATTTATAAGTTTTTTTCCCCAGACTATCAATTCTATTCCATGACCCACATGTCTATTTTATGGCATTACTAACCTGTTTTGATGACTTTTGTTGTGGCTTTGTAGCAAGTTGTGAAATTGGGAAATGTGTCTTCCAACTAGGTTTGTTCCCTTCAAGTGTTTTTTTTTTTTTTTCCCTAATTGAGGGCCCTTGCAGTCCCATATGAAGTAGAAGATTGGCTTATACATTTCCACAAGCAAAACAAAACCAGACATTGGAAGTCTGATAAAGATTGCATTGACTCTATACATTACAGTGAGTAGTATTGACTCTTTAATATTTTCTTCCAGTCCGTGAACATAGGCTAACTTTTCATTTATTTAGGTAATCTTTTTCTTTTAGCCATGCTTTATAGATTTCAATGTACACGTTTTTCATTTACTTGATTAAATTTATGCCTACATATTTTTCATTGGGGTGCTATTGCAAATGAAATTATTTCTCTTGTTCATTGCTGCTATATAGAAACACAATTTAAGGTTGTGTATTGTACTCTGCATTTTTGTTTAATTTATTAGCTCTTGCAGGGTTGGTGTATGTATGTGTTCTTTGGCATTTAAAAAAATATGTAGGATCATGTCATCTACGAATAGTTTACCTGTTCAATTACTTCTTTTTTTCTTACCAATCTAATTTAGTTAGAATTTCTCATAGAATGTTGCATAGAATTTGTGAAAGTAGGCATTCTTGTTCCTGATATTACTTGGAAAATGTTCAGTTTTCTCTATGGAATTTGGTGTTAGCTCTGGGCTTTTCATATATGCCTTTTATCATGCTGAGGAAAAGTGCCATTGTAATGTTTTTAAATGTGTGAGACAAAATATACAGGATTACAAAGGGAGCTAATTATATCAAAATTCTTCCATAAAATATTTTTTTAATTAATTTATTTATTTATTTTGACAGGCAGAGTGGACACTGAGAGAGAGAGACAGAGAGAAAGGTCTTCCTTTGCCGTTGGTTCACCCTCCAATGGCCGCCGCGGCCGGCGCGCTGCGGCCGGCGCACCGCGCTGATCCGATGGCACGAGCCAGGAGCCAGGTGCTTTTCCTGGTGTCCCATGGGTTGCAGGGCCCAAGCACTTGGGCCATCCTCCACTGCACTCCCTGGCCACAGCAGAGGGCTGGCCTTCTTCCATAAAATATTAAAAATATTAAATTTGTAACATAGTAATGTGTACTATTTTTAAAGTCACTATATAACAAAGTAAAGTAGCATTCATTTGAATTAGGGAAGAATTTAAATGACGTTGGGAAATATCTGCAACCGCCGTCACGTGTGGGGCTGGAGTTGTGGTGTGGTGGTTAATGCTACCACTTGCCATGCCGGCATCCCACAATGGAGTGCTGGTTTGAGTCCCATCTTCTCTGCTTCTGATCCTGCTGGTGCACCTGGAAAAGCAGTGGAGGATGGCCCAAGTGCTTGGGCCCCTGCCACCCACATGGGAGACCAGGCTGGAGTTCCAGGCTTCTGGCTTCAGTCCTGGCCACTGTGGCCATTTGGGGAGTGAACCAATAGATGGAGGATATCCCTCTCTGTTGCTCTTCCAAATAGATCTTTTACAAAAGTGTAGTGTGGTAGGAAAATATGTGTGGTTTTTATTCATCACATTAAGTCCTGCTACTACTGAGGTGTGTTGCTTAATAGAAGGAAATGCTCAATTGCAGCCAGAAGTTAGTTTAGAAAAAGACAAATTATTTCCTGTCCAAATTCATGGGCCCCTGGATTCCAGAATCCTGGTTAAGAACCCCAGAAATCAAGAGAAAACGGACGATGGAACACGTGGGTGTGCTGGTGAGACAGAGGTCGCTGCGCCCAGGAATGGCCGCCCCTGGGTGGGAGACAGTGGAAGCAGCACTCAGGGCACGCGCCCAGTGCGCGGCCTGGCCACGGCAGAGGCAGGCGCCCTGGGGCGCGCGGGGCCGGCGTGGGCCGCGTTGGGCAGCCTCGTCGGGCTGTCCGTTCCCTCAGCCGCGCCAACACGGCCGGGGCGCCACGCGGGCCCAGTTCGCACCACACAGGAGGCGCACACGGCGGCAACGCGGCCTCGCGGCCCACGCGTGGCGGCGGCCGGCGGCGCGGGGCGCGCTCCGTGCTGGCGGCAACGGCGGGGGACCCCACGGAAGGCACGGCCCGTGGGCGGAGGGGCTGGGCTCCGCACACGGCGGGAGGCCTCGACCCCAGGCGCGCAGCCCGCTCTCCCACGCCTTTAGTCGCGGGCGTTCGCCACGGACAGCGCCCACCGCGAGCGCGACCCACGCGCGCGCACCGCTCTCCCGGCAGGCGCTGCGCGGGCTGGCCGCGCGCAGGCGCGCACGCGCGGCCCCGTCCGGCCCGCCCCGCTCGGGGACGCGGTTCCGCTGGAGCCGCCCGTGCCGAGGGGACCGTTTCCTCTTAAAGGAGAAACGGCGCCGCGCGCGCGAGGTGGGCCCCGGCCCTCCGCGGCTCTCCGGGCCTGCGCGCGAGGCCGCGGGGCGCAGGCGCAGTGGGGAGAGGGCGGGTGGGGCGCGCAGGTAAGGCCTTGGCGGGGTGGGGGTCTGCGGGACAGGTGTGTCCCCGCGCTCGGCGAGCCTCACGGGGGCGGCCCGGGGTGGCCTCCGCTCAGGCCCACGCCCCCGGCCCTGACCGGGAAGAGCACCCCCCAGGTGCAAACCAGGCCACGACCACTGCCCCCCCAGAACCAGTGAAGGCCCCGTGCTTCTCCAGGCGCAGCGTCTGTGCCCCCCACCCCAGCTGGCGCTCCCCCGGGAGAGCTTCACGCTCTGGTGCGTGACTCCTGTTGGGTCCGCGGGTCGGTGTCCTGACCGTGATCTCGCGCCAGGCTGGCCGTCCCCCGACGTCAGGACAACTAGTGGCCTCCCAGCGGCCGGGCCCCCGCCCCGCAGGTCCTGGCGCCCATGGCGTCCCCCTCGGGGGCAGACGCCACCCGCAGGCGGCGGGAGCAGCGGCGGCAGCTGGACGCGCGCCGCAGCAAGTGCCGCATCCGGCTGGGCGGCCACATGGAGCGGTGGTGCCTGCTCAAGGAGCGGCTGGGCTTCGCGCTGCACTCGCAGCTCGCCAAGTTCCTGCTGGACCGGTGAGGATCCCCCTCCTCCCTGCCCAGGGCCCAGGGGCTCTCCAGGCCCTGCTCCCTGCGCGGTCCGGGGGCTGGGGGCGGGGCACGCGGGCCTGACCCGCCCGCCCCCTCTCTCTGGCAGGTACACCTCCTCAGGCTGCATCCTCTGTGCAGGTAGGGGCCGGGGCGCCTGAGTGGGTTTGGGAAGCGGGGCACAGTGGTCTGATGGGGGCAGCCCGGACAGGGGCCTGCTGGGTGCACAGGAGCAGCACCAGGCGGCCCAGGAGTTTGCGGCCCCAGGGTTGTGTGGGTGTGGCCCTCAGGGCAGAAGCAGGAGCCCTGGCTGGGCCTGATGGCTTCCCCCACCCCTCCAGGTCCCAGGGTTGTGTGGGTGTGGCCCTCAGGGCAGAAGCAGGAGCCCTGGCTGGGCCTGATGGCTTCCCCCACCCCTCCAGGTCCTGAGCCGGTGCCCCCCAAGGGTCTGCAGTATCTGGTGCTCTTGTCGCACGCCCACAGCCGCGAGTGCAGCCTGGTGCCTGGCCTTCGGGGGCCCGGGGGTGCCGACGGGGGGCTTGTGTGGGAGTGCTCGGCAGGCCACACCTTCTCCTGGGGACCCTCTTCGGGCCCTTCACCTCCAGAGGAGCCCAAGCCCGTGCCCCTCGCACGCACTGCCCGGAGCAGCTGTTGCCCTGCGGCCAGCGGCAGGCGGCAGCCTGCAGGTAGGCTGGGACCCTGTGCTGACAAGGGGTCCTCGCCCAGGGAAGCTCGGTGCGAGGGAAGTGGTGTGCTCTCAGGCCCTGCCCAGGAGGGTAGCGTGTGCTGTGCCTCCGTGGAGGGCACCGAGGGCACCCGGTGCCCTGTGGGGAGACCTCGGTGGCTGGGACCTTCCCAAGAGGTCGGAGGCCCCTCACTCCTTGTCAAGCCCCCCCCACCTCGGCCCTTACAACTGCACCGGACGCAGTGCCTTCCCCTCTGACGCTGCCTGTGTCCACAGATTGGGAACCCGAGCATGAAGAGCACACTCAAGAGGCGGGGCTGCCCAGGTACGGGGAGCCTGGGGAGCCCGGGGCAGGATGAGCTGCACCTGCCCTGCGGGGGGGGGCAGGGCCTCAGGCTCAGCGTCTTTGCGCCAGCAGGCAGGGAGAGCAGGAGGGCGAGGAGGAAGAGGACGGCGAGGAGGAAGAGGAGATGCTGAGTGACGCCAGCCCCTGGACCTACAGCTCCACAGATGAGCAAGTTGGGCCCCAGGGGTGCTGAGCAGAGCCGGGAGGGGCCCGCAGTTCAGAGCCCTGCACGCGGAACCGGAGGGTGGGCTCTGAGGGCCGACAGCGGGTGTGGACCGCAGCCTGGTGCTGGCCAGGGTTGTCCCAAGCTGGGGATCTTCAGCTCAGGGGTTAAGGTCGGGCTGGGGCTGGCTGAGTGTCCCGACAGCTGATGTCCTCTTCCTCTCGCTTCTCCCTTCAGCAGCGACCCAGATGCCCCCAGACCACGCCCCTCCCCTGCCACCCTCACGCTGGGGGAGGAGGAGGCCCCCTCAGCCCCTGCAGCACCCCCTGCTCCTGCTACACTCTCTTCACCAGCATCCCCGCTGGGCTCCGGCGCTGCTGTGCTGTCAGAACTCAGGGTGCAGCTGGAGCACGATGGGGCCCCTCGAGCAGCCCAGCAGAGCGAGCCCCTGGCCAGGTAACCTGATGCTGAGACAGAGGGCAGGGGTGTCCTGGGACGCGGCCCCCCTCGAGGCCCTCTGCTCCCTCTTTGCTGCTTGTAGCCCTGGAAGCCAGGCCCCGTCTGCTCAGAGCCCAGCCTGGGATGAGGACACTGCACAGATCGGTCCCAAGAGAATCAGGTAGGCTGTGGGGAGACGGGACCCAGGGGCCGGGTGGGGGCTGGGGACAGCAGGCGGGAGTGCTGCCTCCTGTCTGTCCCCAGGTAGGATGTGGGGAGACGGGACCCAGGGGCCGGGCGGGGGCTGGGGACAGCAGGCGGGAGTGCTGCCTCCTGTCTGTCCCCAGGTAGGCTGTGGGGAGACGGGACCCAGGGGCCGGGTGGGGGCTGGGGACAGCAGGCGGGAGTGCTGCCTCCTGTCTGTCCCCAGGTAGGATGTGGGGAGACGGGACCCAGGGGCCGGGCGGGGGCTGGGGACAGCAGGCGGGAGTGCTGCCTCCTGTCTGTCCCCAGGAAAGCCGCCAGGAGGGAGCTGATGCCTTGTGACTTCCCTGGCTGTGGAAAGATCTTCTCCAACCGGCAGTATCTGAATGTGAGGGCAAGGCAGGGCCTGGTGGCCGCAGGGCTGGGGACGGGCTGCCGGCGAAGCTGAGGACAGCAGTGGGGAAGCGGGCACTTGCAGAGCTCGCCCACGGTTGATATTCCGTAGACTGACGGCTGGTGCCCGAGGCCGCAAAGTCAGTCCCCCAGGCACGGCCCACCCCCACCACTGCCTGTTTCACAGAGCCCTGGCACAGAGCTGGGCTGCTGGGGGGTTAGGCAGGCGGCGTGTGTAGTTGGGGTCCTCACAGCACCCCTAGGGGACAGGTGCTGACGCTGTTCCCGCCCCCAGATGTGGCCCTGAGGCTCCCTGGAGGCTCCTCAGCCCATGTGGCGGTGCACGCCACTTCCCGCTGGGCAGGGGCACACGCCGGGCCGGCCAGAGCCCCACAGTGAGGTAGACCCCAGCCGTGCAGGTCGTGGGACAGAGCCGCGGCCAGAGCTGCAGTGGGAGGAGCCCCTAGTGACAGCGAAGCCTGAGGAAGGGCGGAGCCTTGCGGGGGCATCTTGTGCCGTCACAGGGGCGCTGGAGCTCTCCTGCAGGCTGACCAGGGGAGGCGGGGCTGTGCATGGGGCCAGGTGCAGTCAGGTCAGATGTGCCGGGTTATTAAGGCTGAAGAAGCCGTTCCCCCTAGAAGTCTCCAGGCTGGGAGCGTGTCTGCAGGACTGACAGCGCAGCTGCGGAGGAAGGCTGGGCGCTGTCGTTGCACAGGGCTGCTGCTGTGAGAGATAGCAGCCGCACCCACCTGCCCCGTCCCCCTCACACGGGAGGCCACACTTGGGGCACTGGGAGTGTCCCCGAGCACTGTGGAGTGAGCACTGCAGAGCACGCAGAGTGAGGCGGGGGCCAGGCAAGAGCAGAACCATGTGAGGGCAGGGGTGACGGTGGGGGGAGGCACGCGGGGCTGTTGGCTCTGTCGGTGCGGCCAGGTAGGACGGGGGACCGAAGCCTGCCTGTGGGGTCAGGTGGTCGTCTCCCCGGGAAGGCCGTCATCATTTTGCTTCCCACTGCCCACCGCCCGCCTCTGCCTCAGCACCACAAGAAATACCAGCACATCCAGCAGAAGTCCTTCTCGTGCCCGGAGCCGGCCTGCGGGAAGTCCTTCAACTTCAAGAAGCACCTCAAGGAGCACGTGAAGCTGCACAGCGGTGAGTGCGCCCGGCACCTGCGGCTGAGCCTCGGGGACGCCTCCCGGGGCTGGGGAAGGGGACGCGGAGGACGCTGTGAGCAGAGCCCTAAGTGCAGTGGGCCTGGGGCCTGGGCTCCGCCTGCTGACCCTGAGGTGCCCCAGCCTGGCCTGTGCAGGATCGGGGGCCTGGGCTCCGTCTGCCGACACTGAGGTGTCCCAGCCTGGCCTGTGCAGGATCGGGGTCCTGGGCTCCGCCTGCCGACCCTGAGGTTGCCCCAGCCTGGCCTGTGCAGGATCGGGGGCCTGGGCTCCGCCTGCCGACACTGAGGTGCCCCAGCCTGGCCTGTGCAGGATCGGGGTCCTGGGCTCCGCCTGCCGACCCTGAGGTGCCCCAGCCTGGCCTGTGCAGGATCGGGGTCCTGGGCTCCGCCTGCCGACCCTGAGGTGCCCCAGCCTGGCCTGTGCAGGATCGGGGGCCTGGGCTCCGCCTGCCGACACTGAGGTGCCCCAGCCTGGCCTGTGCAGGATCGGGGGCCTGGGCTCCGTCTGCTGACCCTGAGGTGTCCCAGCCTGGCCTGTGCAGGATCGGGGGCCTGGGCTCCGTTTGCTGACCCTGAGGTGCCCCAGCCTGGCCTGTGCAGGATCGGGGGCCTGGGCTCCGCCTGCCGACCCTGAGGTGCCCCAGCCTGGCCTGTGCAGGATCGGGGGCCTGGGCTCCGTTTGCTGACCCTGAGGTGTCCCAGCCTGGCCTGTGCAGGATCGGGGTCCTGGGCTCCGCCTGCCGACCCTGAGGTGCCCCAGCCTGGCCTGTGCAGGATCGGGGGCCTGGGCTCCGTCTGCTGACCCTAAGGTGCCCCAGCCTGGCCTGTGCAGGATTGGGGAGGCCAGGAGGGTACAGAGGAAGGAGGAGGGCACTCTGCCTGGCTCTCACTTCAGGTGAGGAGACACCGTCCCGGGTCTGGAGCCACACAGGGACAGGGCTGGCCCAGAAACACAGAGACCGCTGTGGGAGCAGGGGGCTGCAGCGGCCACTGCAGAGGTGGGCTGGGCTGCACTTGCAGGTTGCAGCCAAGCTGGGGAGAGTGGCTGCCTGGCGAGGGCAGATGGCCACAGCGGGGGCGGGCAGGGGCAGCTGGCGCCGCGGAGGGTTCCAGCTGCAGCAGCCGGGCGGAAGAGGCTGCGGTTTTGTGAGCACCTGTGAGTGGCGGGCTAGGGGACGTGCTCATCAGGCATCTCAGGAGACGTGAACCTGGAGTTAGGGGAGGTGTGCAGCAGGTACTTGGTGCTGTGTGGCTGCAGCACCCTGTCCCAGGGAGGGGCGAGTGGGTGTGGGGGCAGAGAAGAGGGGTGAGTGTGGCACCCCTGCACTTGGTGTAGGGAGAGATCTGGGGTGCAGCACAGGTGACACACTCCAGGCGCCACTGGACTGTTCAGGGAGGACACGTTAAGGTGGGGGTGGCATTGGCTGCTTTCAGCCAACAGCCAGAGCAGGGAGAGGATACCAGGCGCTGGGGCGTGTCTGCAGGGCTCGGCCTTCAATCCGAATTCCCCTCCCGAGCTCCAGGCTTCCGTGTAGCTGCTACCTGTTACTTTGTCCACACACAAGGACCCAGGTCTCCTTTCCATGCCTCTCTTTCGCAAAGACCAGCTTAGAGGCCCAGCTGCGAGGCAGGGAGCCTCCCCTGGGAGCTCAGTGGTTCTGGTGGAACTGGGTGACTGTAAGGAAGGCTCCTTGGTGGTGTCACATTTTCTGTGTTCATATCTCAACCGGCTGTTGTGACCCGTCAGGTCAAGGCCCAGACTAATTCCACGATACGGAACACAAGCAGTTACCACCCAGGCCTCCTGACCCTCAGGAGGGGTGGGTGAGCTGCAGAGGGGCCACGGCCTGGGGCTAGAGCATACTGTTTCTCCTGTGCACCCACAGACACCCGGGACTACATCTGTGAGTTCTGTGCCCGGTCTTTCCGAACCAGCAGCAACCTGGTCATCCACAGACGCATCCACACGGGAGAGAAGCCCCTGCAGTGAGTGAGGGCCAGGGCCACGGGCGGGGGCGGGCCTGGCAGCCGGGCACAGGAAGCAGGAAGAGCCCTGGAAGTCCTGACGGGACGAGGCCGCCTCCTTCCCTTCCTGTCCTTGGCTCCAGGTGTGAGATCTGCGGGTTCACCTGCCGCCAAAAGGCCTCCCTCAACTGGCACCGGCGCAAGCACGCGGAGACAGCGGCCGCCTTGCGCTTCCCCTGTGAGTTCTGTGGCAAGCGCTTTGAGAAGCCGGACAGTGTCGCAGCACACCGCAGCAAGAGTCACCCGGCCCTGCTCCTGGCCCCACCAGAGTCATCTGGGCCCGAGGAGCCCTGCCCCAGCCACTCTGCCCCCGAGCCCCTGGGTGCCACCCGAGGGCCCAGGCCCCCTCAGGCTCCAACCCTGCTCCCCCAGCAATGAGCTGTCCCCTCAGCTGGGGAGCCAGACCCCAGGTTGGAAAAGGATCCAGGAGGAGAGGGACCAGAAGAGAATGCCAGGGGCCTGGGCCCTGGGACCACAGCGGCCCGGAGCGCAGGGCAGCTGGGCGACCTTGGTCTTGGACAAGGACGGAATAAACCGCGTTGTTCCTGGGCACGTGTGGCCGAGCGGGTTGTGTTGGCACCTGAGGTTGGGCCCTTTTCCACGTTTGCCCTGCCCCGAGGGCAGGTTTCCGATGCACGCTGGCACTTCCAATGTGACCGTGAGGAGGGTACCGGTTGCCCAGGGGGACGCCAAGCAGGAGGAGGCACGCGATCTGGGGCCGCATTGTACTGGCTGTCGGCTCCTCACGGCACAGAAGCAAGGAGTCCTGCGTCCAGGAGGCTGTGCTGCGGTGGGAAGGGACAAGACCTTGAACTGCCAGAGAACCTGGCGTCTGTGGAGACGGCTGCCTGAGGGTTCAGAGGGGCTCTCGGAATCTCAAACCCAAACAAGTCTTTATTTCACCAGCCGTACGCCGACAGTCACTGGACACCTGCAGGCCTCTTCCCTCCCGCCCCTCCCCTCTGGCTTGGAAGCCTCTGCCACTCATTGACAACGGCCCACACGGTCCGGCTGGGGTCACGGAGCAGATAGCTCCCTGCCGACTGCAGGAGGCTGAGCCCAGAGCCCCTGGGTCTGCCGGCTGCTTCCCAGGTGCTGGGGAGGAAGCAGGATGACCAGGTGAGATCAAGAGGCTGGTGAGACGGACTGCGGCCACATCTGCTGGACACCTGAGGAGGTGGGCACAGCACACGACGGGGAAGGGGAGGTGGAGACAGGCTGAAATTAGGAGAGGCCTGGGGAGATAGAAGGCAGGCAGGAAAGCCGGAAGCAAACAGTGCAGGGTGGCAGCAGGGGAGGTACTCAGACCCTGACTCCCTGCACCCACACCCCTAGAGAAGCCAAGAACGTAAGGACCGGGTGGGCGCAGAACTACCGGGGAGGGAGGTGCAGAGGCAGGAGAGCCCAGGGAAGGGCCACCCGTGGAGTCCTTTCCCAAGCCTGCAGCTGCCTGCAGTTGTCCTGGCCTTCCTGTGGCCTCAGCAAGTCCCCCTCCATGGGGACGCAAAGAGCGCTGGCTTTTCCTGTGGGGCTGGCCCCGCAAAGGTGAGGGCGGTGCCGACTGCAGCCTGGGTGGTGGTGGCAGTGGCGGCGGCGGCAGAGGTGCGGGCACGCGTGTGGGCCCGTAGGTGCTGCGACAGCGACCTGCTGTGGCTGAAGCATTTGCCACACTGGGCACACTCTGCCGGCCGCTCGCCCAGGTGCGTCTTGCGGTGCAAGGCCAGCTTGGAGGCCACGCTGAAGGCTTTGCCGCACTCGGGGCACTTGTGTGGCTTGTGGCCCGCGTGGTTGCGCAGGTGCACGTTGAGGTTGGACACGCATGTGAATCGCTTGCCGCACAGCTCGCAGCCGTAGGGCTTCTCCCCCGTGTGCGTGCGCCGATGCTTGGTGAGGTCCGAGCGGTCGCTGAAGCCTCGGCCGCACTCGGGGCACGAGAAGGGCTTCTCGCCCGTGTGGATGCGCTGGTGCACCACCAGGTCGTACCGCTGCCCAAAGCCTTTGCCGCAGGTGGCACATGAGTGCGGCCGCTCGCCTCGGTGGCTGCGCCGGTGACGCAGCAGCGTGGAGCTCTCGCTGAAGCAGCGCCCGCAGTCGCCGCACGCGTACGGCTTCTCGCCCGTGTGCGTGCGCCGGTGACGCACCAGCGTGGCGCTCTCCAAGAAGCGCTTGCCGCACTCGGGGCAGGTGAAGGGCTTCTCGCCCGAGTGCGTGTGCAGGTGTCGCACGAGCGTGGCGCCCTTGGCGAAGCTCTTGCCGCACACGCCGCACTGGTGCGCCTCCGCGGGGTGCGGGGACGCGGGTGCACTGTCTCGGGCTCCCCGGGCCGCTGGGATGCGCGCTCGCCGCCGTAGCTGCGCACTGGCCTGGACGGCCCGCGGCGATGGCGCCTCGTGGGGGCGGAGCGCGCTGGTGGCTGGGGAGACGGTGGGTCCTGCGGGGTGCGCCCGAGCCTGATGGAAACGCAGTGTGCTGTCGCGGAAGGCCCGGGCACACTGCGGGCAGCGGCGCGGCCGCTCGGGGGGGGTGGTGGCGGCGCCGGTGCAGAAGCAGCGCCGGCAGGTGGGGGGAAGCGGCGGCCGCAGAGGCGGCAGGGGCAGATGCGGCCGCGCCGCCGGTGCGCGCTCAGGTGCAGGTCGAGGTGGCCGCTGCGGCGGAAGCTCTGGCCGCACTCACTGCAGATGTATAGGGTCTGGCCGGCGTGCGCGCGCCGGTGCGTGCGGAGGTCGGTGGCCCGCGCGCAGTGCTCGCCGCACTCCAGGCAGCGGAAGCGGCGCTCGCCGCCGTGGGCGCGCTCGTGCCGCAGCAGCAGCACCGAGCTGTAGCCGAAGCTCTTGCCGCACTCGCTGCAAGCGTAGGGCCTCGCCGCCACCCCTGCCGCCGGGAACATGGCGAGCCGGGCCCGCGGGGAGGCGCGCCCTCGCGGCGCCAGGGAGGTTTAGGGTCCCTAAGGCCTGGACAGGGGGCGCTGCGGGGGGGAGGGGTGGTTGCGGCCAGGCTCACCCCGGACCTGGAGCCCCGTGGGGAGGTCACAGTGAACCCCAGCGAAAGCGCCAGCAGCCCCACCCAGGGGAACGCTGGCTCCGTGTTCCTGTAACTTCCCCGCGTGGTCCGTCTCCGAGAGGATGCAAAGCCGCCGAGTTCCACCCGTGTGAAGGGGGTGTCCACGTGGCACCTGTGAGGGCGGGAGGCACAGCAGCAGGAGACGATGCGGAGCAGGGCTTGCGCTCTGCACAGGAGGCGGGAGGCCTGAGCGCAGGGACAGAGTGGGGATGAGTGGGGCAGACGGGGTGTCCGGCCTGCTCTCTGGCCACAGACTGGGGGTCCCCGCCCGGAGATGCGCTAGTAGAGCACAGGCAATGAAAAATCCCGGGGCTTAGCTCCCCCCACACCGTCCTGTGCCGGGGGAGCCCAGCTAGGCCTGCACAGGACAAAGCGGCACTCTGAGGACGCGCATGGGCCGGGGTCTGGCAGCAGCCTGGGCAGAAGCCGCAAACCTGGTGCACAGCGAGCCGAGGCCTGTGCCGGGCAAGTCTTTGAGGAACCCCAAAACATTGTTCCTTGGCTTTGCAAGGAAGTACCCAGCCCCAGATAGGAGAGGGCAGCTCAGGACCCAGGAGGTGGGGAGAGGAGCGTGCACAGGTCAGTTCACAGCAAACGCGGTCACAAGCTGCTGGCAGCGCCCGAGAAGCACGTCCCCACCGTCAGGAAGGCTGGGAAGGGAAGGGGAGGGGCAGGCTCCAGGAGCCTCTGGGAGGCCGAGTCGTTGGCTATCATTCTGCCCAGGTCCAGGGATCGGAGAACCAGGAGTAGCAGATGAACCCCTTTATGGAGAGCACCCTGCTTACCTCCAGTGGAACCCTCAGATCCGACAGGGTGCTCCTGGCAGCTGTCTGGGAGAAGGGCAGCTCGTCAGCTGGGAAGGGACACTGGCACGCCCTCCCCACCTGCCCGCCTCCCCACTGACTGCTTCCCACAAGGCCAGACTGTGCCCCGGCCCAGTTCTGTGGGCACCGGAGTTCAGAAAAAGTGCCTGGTTCAGCCACCTGCCCCCGACAGATGGGGTGGGGGAGGCAAACCAATGGTCCGCAGTCATTTCCGTGTTAGTGGATAGAAATCCATACAAATACTCCCCACAAAGATGGGATACCCATTGTTGGGATATAATTGGGGTCAAATTAAAAAAAGCTTTGAAAGTAGCAAACCTGCAGAGGTGAGCTCTGGGGCTGTGACTCCCCTCGGTGCAGGGCAGGAGCAGCCAGCGTGGGAAGTCCTCCTCTGGTGCCTCTGGAGGGGCAGGGGTGCTCTGCCCTGCAGGGGTGAAGGGAGAGGGGGAATGCAGGTTTAATCTGAGCAGGAGACAAGCAGGGAGAGAGAGGGTCTTTATTCTCACTGTGAGAAAGGAGGGTACTTTTTAATGGACATTTTGAAAAGTAAAGTTTAGGAAGGGAGTGGACATTCGGCCTAGCAGTTAAGACACTGGTTAAGATGCTGTGTCCACATCAGTCTAATGCTTGGCTCTGGCTGCTGACTCCAGCTTCCTGCTAATGCAGACCTGGGGAGGCAGCAGGCCTCAGACAACTGGGTTTATGCCACCCATGTGGTAGACCGTGTTGAGCTGGCTCCCAGCTCCTGCTGCTCAGCTGTTGCAGGCATTTTGGGAGAGAATGAGCAGATGGGAGTCCTCCATCCCTCTCTCTTCAATAAATAAAGTAAAACTTAGGGGGAAAAACTAGGAAGAACAGCATCACAACTCACTGATCATGTTGCCATTCTTGTTTCATTGGTGACAGCACTCTACTTTTTTTTTGGGGGGGGGGTGCAGTCTATTGAATTCCAGACATTTTATTCAAAGAGAATGATTTTTTTAAAAAAGATTTTATTATTTATTTGACAGGTAGAGTTACAGACAGTGAGAGGGAGAGTCAGAGAGACAGGTCTTCCTTCTGTTGGTTCACTTCCCAGATGGCCGCAACGGCCAGAGCTGTGCTGATCCGAAGCCAGGAGCCAGGAGCTTCTTCTGGGTCTCCCATGTGGGTGCAGGGTCCCAAGGACTTGGGCCATAGCAGAGAGCTGGATTGGAAGAGGAGCGCTGGGACTAGAACTGGTGCCCATATGGGATGCTGGCACTGCAGGCGGAGCATTAACCTACCGCACCATGGAGTCGGCTCCTCAAAGAGAATGGTTTTACAAATGTGTTGGCAAGCAGCGGCAGGAACCTCCTGGTTGCTCCAGAAGGAATGTGCGACCCAGACACTCCAGGTCAATGGCTGGTCCCAAATGCCCCAGAGAGCAATGCTCTGGCAGGGGTTTCTGGGGATCACAGCACCTCACAGGCCTTTATTTCAGAAGCCACCTTCTGCCAGGGCACATGCCAAAAGAAATAAAAACAAATAGACACACATAAATTTCGTTAAAATGAAGACAGCATTTCCTTCCATTGTGGACAAGGAATAAGAGAGACTTTGGTCTGGGATGCAGGTTAGGTGCCTAAGTGCCATGGCAGGCTCTTCAAGTCTCTTCTGAACCTCACTCCACGTGGGAGTTTGCCCCAGAAGCAAAGGGGTCTGTGCCTGAGGTGGGCCTGAAAGAAGAAAATATCAACTGTGCTAAAAGAGGATGCTTTCTGGACTATCACAACCACCTCTCTCCTGGCTGTGAGCTTTGAAGTAATCTGCCAAATTTCCAGTACTTTGGGAAAAACATACAGGAAAGCTTGGAAAAGGGGAAGTGAAAAGTCCTAATTGTTGAATCCTTGAAAGTACTTTGCAGGGGTCGGGGGGTGGGCATTTGGTTGGTGCGGTCAGTAAGACACTGCTTGGGATGCCCACATCCCATATCACAGTGCTTGGGCTTGAGTTTTGGCTCTACCTCTTGTTCCAGCTTCCTGCTAATGAGGCAGCTGTGATGGTTCAAGTGGTTGGGTCCCTGCCACCCACATGGGAGACCAGATTTGAGTTCTGCACTCCTAGCTTTGGTCTGGCTCAGTCCTGCTTGTTGTGGGCATTTGGGAAGTAAACCAGTGGGTGGAAGATCATATCGTTCTGTCTCTCTGCCTTCCAAATAAAAATAAAGTACCTTATTATCTTCCAAGCATTTAATACTTTACATATAACTAATAAAAACAGGTACTAAGTAAGATAAACTAGTGGAAAATTAACATTCACAAGAGATTCAAGATAAACTGAGTTTCACATATTGCTTTATTTTTTTCCTCATAGATAATGTAGGCATTTCAGATCATACCTAGTTGGTCACAAATTGCAAACCAGGGCTAGAAGTGGTCATGATGGAGAACAGTTACTGACAATGTGCTGTGAGAGACTTTTCTTCTGCGGTGAGTCCTTCAGGCAGAATGGGCTTTCCTCTGCAGCTGTCCTGCCATGCCCGCATCCTGAGGTGAGATGAGGCTCCAGAAAGTCAGGACTTGCTAGAGGCAAGTGACCACCTTATGATCTCTCCATCTTGAAGTGGAGTTAGGTAGGACTGGTGTGAGCTGCAGGGAGGGGCTGAGGGGACTGTTCAGAGCTGCACTGACCACCACAGTGGCAGAGAGAAATAGGAGGTGACTGAGCACTCGCAGTGTGGCTCATCCAGATTGAGATGGTGCTGTAAGGGCCAAACGCACTCCTCATTTCAGACTTTATATGGGAAAATAATGCAACATATCTCATTAGTAATACTTAATGTTGATGTATTTAGGATTTATTGGGTTAAACAGTACAAAAATTAATTTCACCCATGTTAAAGATAATTCAAGATGATAAATTGGCTCATATTTTATTTGTATTGGACACAGACTGCCTTTCCAAGCCCTGGAACAACTCACAGAGGGTGAGCAGCCCATGCCGGAGCACCTGGAGACTCTGTGGGAGAGGGCTGTGAACCTGCCCGACTCAGGGCCCCTGGGCCCTGCAGGAGGGTCGTTGCTCTCACTTCCTACGCTCTGGCCTCTGATCAGCCCCTCCTGAAGAGTCCACCTCTCTTCTGGAAAGAGGAGGAGACCTGGCTGGGACTTGGGGTCATGACCTATGCAACTTTCTCTCACTGCTACTCGGAAGGTGAAACCATCCCAGGCGTTAGTGCCATCAACATGTTTGCACATGTGTCCCCTTCTTGTATGGGAAGTGGGTGTTACTCGTTATCCCTTATGATCTGAGGTTCCTGTGCAGGCTTGTCCAGAGTCATCCAACACAGGCACACAGTGGGGTGCAGGGACAGGACAGCAGGCCAAGTGGTCTACCTGTCCCTTTCCCCTGGCACCCTCCAAGCTTTCTGAGGCCTGGCCGGTGCATAGAAGCTCACTTAGCAGAGACAACAGGCCTGACTGTGCAGCTCCGTACGAAGCACCAAGCAGCCAGAGGATGAGGAGGTGAGATGCTGCTCAAGCACCCAGGGTGTATTCTGTGGGTATTGAATCAATCTCAGGGCCCTGGGCCAGGAAATAGGACGACTCCCATTAGGAGAGGGAGCAGCAGGGGGCGGTGGGAGCTGTAGCTACATCCTGGAGAGGTGAGTCTCTGGTTTCCTCCTGGGAGCTGAGAGACGCTGTCTCCAGGATTCTGTGACACTGGGAGACCCCTTGACATCCAGACCAGACGGACACAACGGACACACTCCTCACTCTGGGCGGGGGGTAGAGGGCAGAGGAAGGTGTACATGGCTTCCGAGAGCCTGCTTTGGTCTCTTTCCCCTCCGTGAGAGCCCCTTCTCAAATACCCCTTTTCTGGGAGAGGTCCCCCATGCTGCTCTCCCGCCCTTACTTGGCTGTATTCTGAATTAATCAGTGAACGGGGCCCACCCACTATGGGAAATCTTAACCGTGCTCCAGCAGGCAAAGGTGGGGGATGGAATTCAGACCGGGAGCGGCCACCCATGCATCCTCCTCCCCGTAACAGAAACAGGGTCCAGTTCTTCAAACAGTTGCTCCCTTCAGCTCCAGGTCCACTCTGAGAGGGCAGGGAGCTGGGGTGCTCACGCCTGACTTGATCCGAACGTTCTTTTCTAAGTTTTGGTTTCGCAAACGCTGTCCTTTGAAGTCTGAGAGGTGTGAAGGTATGGGTGAGCACGCAGGCAGGCAGAAACCCACAGAGCAGGAATCCATCCTCCGTCCCTGACAAGGGCAAAACCGAGGCCCGCGGTGGAGGGAGCCTCCCGGAACGTGCGGTCTTCTGCCCCGCCAGGGAGGTCCTGGAGGAAGGGCCCCGTTCACGGCACACCCTGCAAGCACTGCTGGGGCTGCCACCGGCCCGGAAGCAGAGGCGAGCGGCCACGTTGCCGGGTGACCTTGGACCGGGCACTCGGCGTGCCCGCTCTCTCGACATGGAAGCCGCCCCGAGTCCAGAACGGTGCTCAGGACCGTGCCTCCCGAGGGGTCCCGCACAGTCTGCCAGGCCGCTGTCAGCCCTCACGCGGGGCAGAGGGGCTCGGGGAAGGCTTGGCCTCGGATGCAGCCCCTGCGGTCTCCGCGCGGCCAGTCCCCGGGCGCGGGGTCAGCTGCCGCCCCTCGCGGAGAAGGCTCTGCCCCGCGAGCCCCTTCCCACCCGGGCGCGGCGGGGAGCGCGGGTCTCTGACGCCCTCGGAGCCCAGCGGCTGTCAGTGCCCCGGGGGCTCGCCGGCCCTGAAGGTCACCCGGAAGGACCGCGAAGACGCGCGGGCCGGGAGAAGCGGCCGCGCGTGGCCCACGCACGCCTCGGGCCAATCGCCCCGCCTCCGCCCCGCCGCGTCACTCGTGGCAGGGCGGCTGTCTCGACGCGGTGGACGCGAGTCTCCGGGGCGGAGGGGGAAGGCGGCCGACGGCTGGGCCGCTGCCCCGCGCCACCCTCGCCCGCCCGGTCCCTCGGGCCCCTCACCGGTCGCCGAATGGCTCCTGTGACGGCGCGCAGCTCCGGCTGGGCGGGCCCGCCGACCCCGCGTCGTGGACCGAGGAAGTGGCTGAGGAGCGCGCGGCCGCCGAGCGGAGCGGCGTCCGGCGCTGGGATGGGGTCACGCTCTCTCCCTGCTGGCCAGTGGCCGGCCCCTCGCGGCCCTGTCACCGGTTGCCGGGAAGACCCGGACGCGCGCCCCCTGCTGACCGCACAGCCCCTGCGGCCGGAGCGGGAATTCCGGAGGGCCCGCCTTCTTCCCACGACCAACCAATCATTTCGAGGGTTTTTGGTCTGCCCGCCCACCCGGCCTCATGCCCCCCAATCAGAGGAAAGGGCGCCGAGATGGGACTCCCGCCGCCGGGGTGCAGGAGCCGGGTCCGCGCGCGCCCGCCGGGTCCGCGTGCGCCCGCCGGGTCCGCGGCAGTATTCCCGCGCCTCCTGCTTGTCTGCCGTCGTGCGGACCGCAGCGTGGTAGAGGGCGGGTCTGCGGGGACCAGGGTCTGAGCGAGGAGGGGGCGGAAGTACGGAAAACGCGTCTGAAGTGGAATTTCAGGACGCTCGGAGGACGCCTTCCAAGCCAGAATGCGAACATTTCTGGACGCTTGCTCAGTACTGAGGTCATGCTTTTTGGGACACCGGTAAACAAACACGGCTAATTCCCAGTGGCCAGGGCGGTGACACACAGGTCACGTAATTGAAGGGGCTGGGCTCACTGAACCCGGAAGAGAAGCCTTTGTGTACACAATGGCTGCACACATTCTAACCAGCTGCCCGTGGAGTAGCTCCCGGCTAATGCAGGAAGGTGGATTGTTTCCTCTGCGAGTCATCAGCGGCTGGCGATAATCGGAACAGGAATATTGAGTGCAGTGAGAAGTCGAGGTGAAGGTTTGTGCATGTTCAACTACAGACCTGCGCCCGTGAGTGACCGCTCCCAACGTGGTTCTGCAAGTACTCAGGGTATCCACGGAGGGTCTGCTCTAGGTCAGGTGCGGCTCCGATCAAGCGGGCAGACGCGGGTGTTACCCACCAAAGTTCTGGTTCCGGGGTGACATTCCAGGGCCTCTTCTACCTGGTCCAGCCTGCTTACCCAGCCTGTTCTCACCACCACCTGCATTCCTCCGTGTGGAGCACGCGCCAACATCCTCCTTGTCGGCCCTAATGGTCCTCCTGCAGGGCTGTCCCAGTGCCAGCCGTCACCACAAGGGGGCAGTCACGTCTCTCTTCTGAAAACCATCGGAATTGTTCAAGCCATTCTGCATTTACTGAACACTGACTGTGCAGAACACAACGTGCTCCACACTGTCTCTCATCCTTTGCCATGCACGCCGGATACTGTGCAGACTGTCTTCTCCAGTGAACTGCGCAGCGCGTGTCTGAGAACATGTGTGAGTGCCTACTTCTGACACCTGCCGTGTGCAAGGAGGTGGCTAGTGTGGGAGACCAGCTGGAGAGTGAGTCCTTGAAGACTGAACGAGGGCAGACTCCCAGATCTTGCCGCCGTCACCTGAAGAATCGAGTGGTTTAAAGGCAGACAGGAAGAAGTGACCAGCAAACCTCACCGGCCCACAGGTGGCCAGGAGTGTGTATTATGCTCTGTGACGAAGGTAGCCATGACTCATCCCCTTGGAGTTTTCTGCCAACGTAGGTGGCAGGACTGGTGTGGGCTAAACAGGAAGGGACGTGCTCCCAATCCAGAGTGAGGAGAGGGAGAATAGGCTGAGAGGAAATTCGAAGTTTTGCCTTGAAGAATCCCTCCTCCTACAAGCTTTCTGAGGGCCACTGAGCCAGCCCCTGGCTGGGAATTCAGAGGTGCGTGCAACCTCCTGGGCCCAGCACACACCCTGACATGACAGAGGGATCCCTGCCACAATGAGGAGAGTGGGCTTCCCTCAGCAGGCAGGGCCAGAGTCAAGGTGTCTCAGGGTTTGTAGACTAGGAAGTTAGAGCTAAGTGGGACTCTGGGAGTCGATGGCAGAACCCTAAGCTCCAGTCTCCCGAAGGGGGCACCTGGTGAAGGCTTCGGGAAGGAGGTGAGTCAGGGACAGGGTCCTGCCTTGGGTCTCATTTGTGAAGTGGTGGACACTGCCCAACGCCGGAGTCAGTCAGCATCAAGGCCACTGTCAGTGGTTTGAGAGATTTTTGGAAAGGAAGCAGCTGTGGGCAGGCAGGGCAAGCACACTGCACAGGCTTTGCACTGTACTGAGGGGCAACGGGAGGGCACGTGAGCAGAGCACAGGCGACAGGACACAGGACACCACTTCAAAATGCCTTGAGAAGTGAGCCCAACAGATGCTCAAATGTCCAATGTCAGAGGTGGAAGGCTTACTGCCTGCCTTGCTCTGAGGATCGTGGCCTACAGGACTAACTACAAAGTTTCCCATTCTTCAGGACCCCAGCTTTAGTTCCATGTACAGTAACAATGTTGGCCTCTAGAGCATGGTCACTTCCCACGCTTCCACAAATGACTCTACAGGTGTCAGCTGACACGGTTTTCCAACAGTAGAAAGAACCAGGAACAGAGATGTGGAATCTAATAATTTGGAATAATCAGAACAGGAAAGATTGGGTTAACCAAATATGATTTGCAGATTTTATTAAGGATCAAATTGTGAACCCATTATAAGGTGAGATCAAAATGGATTTCAGAAAATGAAAGAGGAAAACATGTTGAAATTTACAAACTGCAAAAACACACATTTTAATTTAAACAGCCTGGCACAGATTGTCTTTTTTTTTTTTTTTAAGACTTATTAATTTATTTGAAAGAGTTACACAGAGAGAAGGAGAAGGAGAGAGAGACTTCTGTCCGCTGGTTCACTCTCCATATGGCCACAACAGCCAGAGCAAAGGCTGGAGCTGCGCTGATCACAAGCCAGGGACCAAGAGCTTCTTCCCGGTCTCCCAGGCAGGAGCCCAAGGACTTGGGCCATCCTCTACCGCTTTCCCAAGCCATAGCAGAGAGCTGGATTGCAAGAGGAGCAGCCAGGTGTCGAACTGACGCCCATATAGGATGCTGGCACTGCAGGCTTTATCCACTACTTTGTCCACTAAGCCACAGCGCCGGCCCCCAGATTATGACTTTTAAATTAAACCACAATCTTAATAGAATACAACTAGAGTTGTGCTTCCAGTCCAGGGTTAACTTCAAGGTCTCAGGCACTGGTTCCTTGGGACACTGCTCTGTTTTCACATTTATGCAGGTAAGTGAAGAGCAAGTAAGATCGAGGTAAGAAAAGACATGCTTGCCTTGGCACAAAAAGCTTATTAAGAGGGAAAAGATCAATTTCCTTTAAAATACAAACTTTTTCAGGGCCAGTGCTGTGGTGTGGTCACCTTCAGTGCCAGCATCCCATGGGGTGCTGGTTTGAGTCCTGTCTCTCCACTTCCGATCCAGCTCTCTGCTATGGCCTGGAAAGCAGTGGAAGATGGCCCAAGTCTTTGGGTCTCTGCACCTGCGTGGGAGACCCGGAAGAAGCTCCTGGCTCCTGATCGGTGCAGTTCCGGCCATTGTGGCCAACTGAAGACCTCTCTCTCTCTGCCTCTCCTTTTCTCTGTGTGTAACCCTGAATTTCAAATAAATAAATAAACCTTTTAAAAAAAAACTTTTTTCTAGTCCTTAATGATAAACATAAAAAAGATATAAAAAGTTATGTCAAAATAAAATAATGTTCAATATTGGCCGGCGCCACGGCTCACTAGGCTAATCCTCTGCCTTGCGGCGCCGGCATACCAGGTTCTAGTCCCGGTTGCCCCTCTTCCAGGCCAGCTCTCTGCTGTGGCCAGGGAGTGCAGTGGAGGATGGCCCAGGTGCTTGGGCCCTGCACCCCATGGGAGACCAGGAAAAGCACCTGGCTCCTGGCTCCTGCCACCGGATCAGCGCGGTACGCCAGCCGCAGCGTGCCGGCCACGGCGGCCATTGGAGGGTGAACCAACGGCAAAGGAAGACCTTTCTCTCTGTCTCTCTCTCTCACTGTCCACTCTGCCTGTTAAAAATATAAATAAAACAAAATAAAATAATGTTCAATATCCATATCTAGGTTCAGTGGCTCATAAAGATATAGATAATGAATTTAAAATTATGTACAACTTGCAGGAGAAAAATCTATTTCAAAATACAAAGTAGGACAAAATGAAACCATTTTAAGTGCAGTACTATGAATATTAATGGTATCTCATGCAAACCTATAGCATATTTTTTATTTTTTTATTTATTTTTTGACAGGCAGAGTGGACAGTGAGAGAGAGAGAGAGAAAAAGGTCTTCCATTACCGTTGGTTCACCTTCCAATGGCCGCTGCGGCCGGCGCATCGCGCTGATCTGAAGCCAAGAGCCAGGTGCTTTCCCCCGTCTCCCATGTGGGTGCAGGGCCCAAGGACTTGGGCCATCCTCCACTGCACTCCCAGGCCACAGCAGAGAGCTGGCCTGGAAGAGGGGTAACCGGGACAGAATCCGGCACCCCGACTGGGACTAGAACCTGGTGGCATGCCGGCGCCGCAGGCGGAGGATTAGCCTATTGAGCCACGGTGCCAGCGTAAACCTATAGCATCTTTAAAAAAAAAATTATTTATTCGAAAGGCAGAGTTGGAGAAAGAGAGGGACATGGATCTTCCATCCACTGGTTCATTCCCCGTATGGTTGCAATGGCTGGGATTGGACCAGGCTAAAGCCAGGAGCCCTGAACTGCATCCTGGTTTCCCACAAGGGTGGCATGGATCCAAGTTCTTGGACCATCTTCTGACTGCCCAGGCACATTAGCAGGGATCTGGGCTGGACGTTGAGCAGCTGGGACTCAAACCTGTACTCATATAGGATGCTGACATCACAGGCAGTGGCTTAACCAGCTACGCCACAAAAGCAGCTCCATAAACCTATAGCATCTTCAGAAAGAATTTTGATTTTGGTTATTTTCACGAATTGAAACATTTAGAATGTAAGTAGATTTAAACTTAACATGATATACCATTAAAAAGATTTTAAGATTTTAGTACTTTTGTTTTTAAGGCTTAATTGAGGCAGTGTAGTTTATGCCAATGGATTGCCCGAGTTCAGGGACTGGTGTACTTCAGCTGTACCTTGGTTGAGAGGATCAGATGAATGGCCATACTAACAACTCAGAACACTGGTGGGCACAAGGCATACATACTTACTGTTTTATTTTTAAATGTGATGGGAACTTGGGGCAAAATAACTCACTTC